CCCCCCCCGCACCCCCCTCCCCACCTTGGCTGCTTCCCCAGGCAAACCCACCTTACTTGTATACTTGGTGTCTGAGCCCTTGGGATATCGAGTCCCTTTTCCTCCGAGGCGAGACCCTGGTGTGCTTGGTGCTGGGTAACGCTGCTCAGGTCGGAAAAGTTGGAAGGGAAATGAGAGTGGAGGGCGGGCAGAGCAGGCCATGGCTCCTGGACTTGCAGACTGGCCCTGCACTGCCCACAGTAGCTCTGCGGCAGGAGCCGCCTGCATCATCAGGTTGCATGGCTTTACACTGCTGTCCTCCTCAGCTCTCAGGGATGACATTACTCAGCAGCAGGCAGACGGTTTTGGGCTGCAGTGGCGCTCAGGCAACCTCGTTGTTACCTGTTATTCTCTGGGCTGCCTCTTCTCTCCAGCCTTTCAGCTTCCTCCCACTCACCCCTCTCCTCTCCTCCGCCTCCCGGTCACTCCTGCTGGAGCCTTCCAAAGCCCTTCCTTATCTTAGGCACAGTCGGTCAGACCTGCTGCATCCTGATTGTAGGCCTGATTGTATCCTCTGGTTGCTTCTTGTCGTTTCCTCAATTCAACAGTGAGTGTGGGCCACACGTCCATCCGAGGACAGGGCAGCCGTCTAGCCGGTTCTCTGACTTCCTGACTCACCTTCCACACTGCCTCTTTGGAACTTTTAGATACTATCTCAGTTATCTCCCACCCCGCCCTCTGTTGCCTGGAGCAGTTCTGGTGAGATTGCTTGTTTTAGCATGTATCTTAAATCAGATTAATTCACATTACTAGTGTTAGTGTAGAATAGATGGAACAAAGCTCTTAGCTGGGAATAGATGTACTAATTATACATAGCATTTATTTTTAGTTATATGTTACTAATGGCATTTTAGAAGCAAGAACCTCTGCAGAGGTAGTTCCAGGGAATCCAGTGTTCTCTCCTGGCCTCCATGTCCATCAGGCATACACCTGGGGCACAGACAGATCTGTAAGTTGTGTTGCTTGGTTTTTGTCAACTTGACACAAGCCTAGACATCTGGGAAGATGGAATCTTAATTGAGAAAATGCCTCCATCAGATTGCCCATACATATAATATGGGCAATAGATACATATATATGTATGATATATATGGACAGTCTGATGGAGGCATTGCCTCAATTAAGATTGCCCATATATATCTCCCATATTATATATACGGGCAAGCTGATGGAGGCAGATATATATGGGCAGTGGTCCCAGATTATAGAAGAAAGTAGCCTGAGCCAACCAGTAAGCTGCTCTCTTCCATGGTCTCTGCTTGTTTCTGCCCTGACTTCCCTTTTTGATGGACCATGACTGGGACATGTAGGTTAAATAAACGCTTTTAGCCATGGCATTTTATCATAACAATAGAAACCTTGAGACACAAACAAAACATTCATATACAGAAAGAAGTTTTGTTTTGTTTTGTTTTTGTTTTTTAATTGCCGTCCCATTTTACCGTTGAGTCTGCTCCCCAGGCTTTGTGGTCCAGAGGCTTGCAGCTGAGAACCCAGAGAAGATGCCTGTGCTGTCTAGGGTTGTGGAGTGATAGGAGAGAACCAAACAAGTGTTTTCCATCTTCCACGTGGCCTAGCCTTCCCCCCAGCTGACTCTTGCTAGGCTCCCTGCCAAAGCGTGGTTGTGGAGTGCACTCATCTTTCCCCAGGCCACAGTCTCAAGCAGAACCAA